GCTGTAAACTGCTTAGAGAGGGCTGTAAAGCACTATAAAGTGGCATACAAGTCTAAGTGCTAAGTGATATATACATCTAATCAAAAGAGAAAGCATTTCCGAAGTTTCACTTTAATCATGCTCTCCTTTCTGGTGAAGGCTATCCAGTTTCACAATGATAAATGCATGTTGTCATAATCCCTCATTCTCTCTCCATCCCAGTGCCCTCACAGCACTGACTCTTGTAGAACAGGACTGCAATCACAAAGTTCAAAATTAATAGCTGTGAAATCTCAAGCATTCATAAGCATGTGTTTTTATCGCTTCTGTGCAGCATAGACTGGATGCTCTTGTTATTTATTATTTGTGACAGTCAACTCTTCCCACATTGTTTGCGCTGGGTGGGAAAAGCATTGTTCACATGTAGCCAGGAGGATGTAGATTCTTTACTTTAATGAGACCGGAACATCTTTTTTCAGCAGATGTGTGGATTTCAACTCAAGAATCCCACATATGTCATGAATTCTCAGAAGTGAAAACAACAGACCCAGAGGATGTCCAGATTAGACAAGAATGGACTGAGGACTCCTATAAGAGCCCATTTTTCTCTATCTTGGATTTCCTCCAAATCAGTTGCTTTCACTTCTGAGAACTGACCAGCACTGATATAACAGAATAACAGAGTTGGAAGGGACCTTGGAAGTCTTCTAGTCTAACTCCCTGCTGATCAGAGGTGGTATTCAATAGGTTCTGACCAGTTCTGGAGAACCGGTAGCAAAAATTTTGAGTAGTTTGGAGAACCGGAAAATACTAATCTCTAATGATCTAAGTGCTAGAGCCCATGTAACTACATAGCCAAAAAGGCATTAAGAGTTGTTAACCTAATCCTACGTAGCTTTTTCTCTGGTAATATCACACTACTAACCAGAGCATACAAAACATTTGCTAGACCAATACTCGAATACAGCTCATCAGTCTGGAACCCACATTACGTATCTGATATTAGCACAGTTGAGAAAGTCCAGAAATATTTCACAAGAAGAGTTATCCACTCCTCTACTCGTTGTAGAATACCTTATGCCACCAGACTTGAAATTCTAGACCTAGAAAACCTAAAACTACCCCGCCTTCGGTCTGATCTAAGTATAGTATATAAAATCATACATTGCAATGTCCTACCTGTCAATGAATACTTCAGCTTCAACCATAACAAGAGCACACAATAGATACAAACTCAAGGTTAACCGCACCAAACTTGATTGCAGGAAATACGACTTCAGCAACAGAGTGGTCAACGTCTGGAATACTCTACCTGACTCTGTGGTTTCTTCCCCAAACCCCAAAAACTTTAACCTTAGACTGTCTACTATTGACCTCACCCCTTTCCTAAGAGGTCTGTAGGGGGCATGCATAACCGCACCAATGTGCCTACCGTCCCTGTCCTATTGTTTCTTTTATTTTTCTTATATGTACCCATTTCATGTATTCATAACTATGTATATACTTATGCCTATTATTTTGTAAGCGATTGACAAATAAAATAAATAAATAAATAAATAAAATATCACCTCTGACTGGAGATTTTACAGTGTCCTTCTCCTGCCACAGCTACCAAGCCACACCCACAGAACCAGTAGTAAAAAAAAAAAAAAAATCCCACTACTGCTGCTGATATTACCTGATGGGTAATGAAACATATGCAAGAAATCAACCAAGTTCAGAGACCAATAAGAGCCTCTCATTTCAAGCCTGAGCTACAACTATTTTTTCCTCCATCGTTACACCTATATAAGTTGCATTTGTTGGCTGATATGGATGGGCTGAAAAAAGACATAGGAGATTTGTTCATCTGAAAAACAATCAGCAGACGGGCTAAAGAGGTAAAATGCAAATACAATCAGCAAAACTGAGTAAGAAATAGTGAAATAGGAGGCTTGGAAAAACTAGAAGAAAATGTAAGTTGGAAAAGAGAATGTCTGAAAAAGAAAAAAATAATAATCAAGCTGTACCATATATGACTGCAAAAATCTAGATGACCACTAGATGGCAGCAAAATGCATTTTTTTTCTCTAGCTCTTTCCTGTCATCTAGTGGTTGCTCCAATTTCTGCAACTCAGATAGAGTAGTTTTAGCTCAATCTTTACAGGTGAATTTGTAATAACTTGTGAAATTATTGTGCAGACACAGAGCCCTCCAGCTATGTTGTGACTAAAACTACCAGAATTCTCAACCAGCATGATTAATGCTTGCATTTGCTGGTAATTCTGTGATCATTCATGCCAAAACTTGGAAAAGTGGTTCAAATCATCATCTTCTTCTTTTAATGACCCCATAATCCCTTGTGGGATGGAATCTGGGCAACTGAATGGAGCTGAGTGCTTACTGGCCGGATGCCCTTCCTGTCACCAAAGTGGAAGATTTTGTGCCCAAAGAGAGAAACATCTGTCTCTACCTAGGATCGAATTCACAGCCTCCTGATCGTGAAGAGAGAGCTCCAGAGAATATACTGGAAAATATCTAGACTGGGTCATAACCCTGATAATGAAGCCAAGATGGAACTCTAAAAAGGTACTGCTCTCCTATTACACTTCTCCATTAATTTCTGCCTGCCACAGTCCTTTCTTGTCAAAAACCCCAAGGCCAAACACATTGCAATATGTAGTTGGTTAAACCAGATCCTTTGGGGAATGATTCTAATTAGAGGAACGTCAATTGTAGTCCCCAAACAACACTGGTGGCTGACTTTACTACTGGAAATACTGTATACAAAACCTTCCTTTCTGAAAAGTCTTTTAAGAGCTTGCTTTACAATCCACGAACTAGGAAGAGAATTTATGTCTCTGCCTCAAAGGCCTTGCTATCTAATTTAAAAGAAAACACAGTAATAAACTGTAGCAAAAACCAAAAACAAGAGAAAACAATAAAAAGGGAATAACTGTTATTTATACACATATCGTCCCTAAGAGCATTGGCGTAAACAGTTTGTTGGTTATGTTTACTTTTAATTATTGGTTACCATTTATTTATCACTCAGAGTGATCTCCTCTGAAGTTTCCCCTTAAAATTGTAATTACCTATTAGCATTTTGTTTTCCATAGCTTTGATATCTATAGGCCAGAGCTGTAAACACCCATAAACACATTGACACATAGATATGCTGTATATCTGACACAGGCCTTGTATGGATAGGAGAGGAGAGGAGAGGAGAGGAGAGGAGAGGAGAAGAGAAGAGAAGAGAAGAGAAGAGAAGAGAAGAGAAGAGAAGAGAAGAGAAGAGAAGAGAAGAGAAGAGAAACCTTTGTTGTCATTTTTTTTCCTGTGAGCACACTGAACACATTAAAAAATGAAATACTGATGCCCGCTATCAAAAGAAAATAAGCCAAAATATTGAAAGTCCATCAGAGCTAACAGCATTATCCAGGAGGAATGCTTTAACCAAGTTTCAATTGCAATGATGACACAGCAGTTGCTCACCTGCTGGTTTGTTATTAACTCTAGCTTCATGTAAACCATTTTAGGCTCTAAGCAGCACGTTAGCAAATAGAGAATATTAACACTCTATATAGGTTAGCCTTTAGCCTAGTGGTTAACCCTCCACATGCTTAAATCTGGCCCACGGGACCAGCGTGGAAATAGCAAACACAGGACAATCACGACTGGAGTCAAATACTTGTGCAAACCAGATGCGGGTTAAAGAGAAAAGACATTTGTAGCTCAAAAAAAAAAAATACTATTGAGAGATTAATACCAAAAAGGACAACTTTTCATTAGCTGTATCTTTGCCTCTGTATCCTAGAATGGAATACAAAGCTATTTTTCAACCTTTGTAGCCTCTTAACTGTTCTACTTTTAAGCCTGACACTCATCACTGCTTCCCTTCTGCATCTTCACATACATACATTTTGATAAACCAATAACCTAGATTTATCAAAACTTGGTTTAACAGGCTTCAGATACAAGAGTCAAATCTTCCATCCAGAAATTACCAGAATAATAGGCAATGCCCACTGCATCAACATGGTTTGGATGCTTATCATAAATTTAATTGCCACAATTATGTAATTATGCAAAAAAAATCCATTTGCAGAAATTTACACCATTTTTAATTAGGGAAATGGCCTTGATTCCAATAACATACATTTGAATTTAACGGACATTCCACTTAAACAGAATGCTTACCTGAAAGTCCATTAAATCAAGGCCTTACAGTAAGTATAACTTTTAAGGCTTTTAAATTGATTTAAAAGGTTAAAAAAAACCTGAGCTTTTACCCAAGAGAAACAAAATTAGGTATTTCCTATTGGCATTTCATCACTGACATTTGTTTTATATATGGGAAATGGATACTGATAACATGTAGCAATGGAAAAAAATAGGGCTGCCATTTTGAAAGCAAACTTTCTTTCTAATCCTACTTCATCCAATCTTTTAAATCATTAGAATCTTTATAGTTTGAATGGATGTTGAATACATGTTTTGAAGTTGATCACATCATATTTACACCCATTTTCCTGTTTTTAAAATATATATATATCAGAACTATAAAACTATAAGCTGACAGGCATCCTTCAGAATGTAGAATGTACAGAAGGAAATAAAATGGTATGCTCAGGAATGTGGTTCCCAGTCATGAATCTGAGATCCAGGGCTCCAGAGCTAAAAGAAGAAGGAGGAGGAGGAGGAGGAGGAGGAGGAGGAGGAGGAGGAGGAGGAGGAGGAGGAG